GTGAGTTTGCGCGTATTTATATAAATATATTTCATTTTAAAACTCCAATTTTCTCTATTGAACTAAAATTGTGTGTATTTGCGCACGCACAAACGCGCACAGTTTTAGCCTTGTAAAAATAAATTGGCTGACCATCTTTAGATGTACGAAACTGCGCTATATAAAATTGAAAATTTCTTTCTATTTGTTAAAAACAGTGTGAGTTTGCGCGTATTTATATAAATATATTTCATTTTAAAACTCCAATTTTCTCTATTGACCTAAAATTGTGTGTTTTTGCGCACGCACAAACGCGCACAGTTTTAGCATTGCAAAAATAAGTTGGCCGACCATCTTTAGATGTACGAAACTGCGCTATATAAAATTGAAAAATTTTTTCTATTTGTTAAAAACAGTGTGAGTTTGCGCGTATTTATATAAATATATTTCATTTTAAAACTCCAATTTTCTCTATTGAACTGAAATTGTGTGTTTTTGCGCACGCACAAACGCGCACAGTTTCAGCATTGGAAAAAAAAATTGTCAGATCATCTTCAGACCTACGAAACTGCGCGTATTATAGTTATACACATGGTATTACTTACACACACTGAACAGACGTTATTACGCATGCGCATTCAGTGGCCCATATCCCTCGAAATCTCGAGATGTTTCAAACTCAAGAATCTGCGCGTATTTGTCATATACTGTTATACACATGTTACGCAATTATATTTTCTTTTTCTCATGTACTCTTGTCCATCTAGTATCTTTTATCTTCTATTTTACTCGATTCTTTTTATATCTTCTTTTTTTGTGTACCTCTAATTTCTTATTTTATAAAGCTTTGATAATACGATCATTTAAGTTTTCTGTTAGTTTTAATTTCTTTATTCTTCATTAATTTGCAGCTCTTTCTGTTTTCTTTTTCTTGTTCTGTTATATTTCAATGTATTTTTCTAATGTATTTTTTTATTTCTTGCATACAATAAAGAAGCAGGGGCGGATACAGGGGGGGGGCGGCATGACCTTCACACCCCCCTAAGATTTCGAGGCAAAAAATGTTCCCGTTTTGCTACAATAATTTTCTTAATTTATTTAATCGTATTTATCCAACTTTCAAGTTTTTTGAAGGAATTAAGATATTAAATACAAAAACAAAGACTCATAGAAAAGAAAAAATGCCGTAATCAAAATAAGGAACGTAAAACAGGTAAAACAGGTGAAGGGATTAAGTCTTTGTCACAAACTCAAAGTTTCTAATCCCTATATCTTTGCAACCTGATTGTGTAAACTTTTCATATTTGAAACTTAGATTATTTGATATAACAGAAATCATAGTTTAAAATATATAAGGTATACGACATTGGGTTAAGTAGATATAAGGATTAGAAAATCAGAGTTAGTGGCAAAGACTCAATTCCTTTACCAATTTACGATTTTCTGAACAAGGTCAAAAAAGAAAGTACTAGGTTTTAAAA